AATTGCATGTATAAATGATATTTCCACACAACAAGAACGAACATGAGCTTGAGTCGAAAAGTATCCTCCATCTCGAGCAGTCTTCCCGTCAACGCTTCCGCACATGGAGATCGGCAAAGATGTGTCTAGCCATGGACAATCGGTCCCTCAGCACTGAGATGATAGTGCTCGCCCTTTTCCAAAATCTCGACGATATCGCCAACGCCCACCAGCCCTTTCTCTAACGGAGTGACATGCATACCCAAACAGGGATTAGGATTACCCTGATCAATGATGCGGTATTTCCGCATCGTGGTCAGAGGCTCATTTCGATCTGTAAGACCAGTCTCTGGATCAACATTGGGCAATTTGCAGCGCGTGGCACGGCATGAAATGTGCAGATCCACAGAGGTCTTCCCACCCGTGGTTTCGGATCGTGAGATGCGCGCCTTGGTCCAGTTGTCCTCGTCGAAAGCAGGGGGGCCGGTGACATACATGTTTGCACGGAAGCGGAGCGCATTTAGGAGGGTGTAGTGGTTTTGCCAGACATATTTGCTTTGTTTTTGCTTGTCGATGTTGGCAGCTAAGTGATGGACTGAAGCGAGATTGAGAATGTGCAGAGGGTACTTTGGCTTGGTTAGTATGGTAATAGTTCAAAACGTAACCAATCCATAATCGAGGAGAGCATGTGGTACGTACATCGTCCTGTAGCCCAATCACGGTTTGAAATCCAACGTCTTCCTTCTTCGGTGCATTTCTATGCACCTCACGGTACTTGTTCATATCGATCCTGAAGAGAGTAATAGGGTTTGCTGCACCCAAGGTGTACCTCAACTTTGCAAGAATCTCAGGATCAATCTCAGAGCCCACGTTGAGCGCAACTGGGCTATCCTTGATGATTTTCAACACTTCATGCTTATATCCCTTGCTCTTCGCATGCTCATTGGTCGGGTTGAACGGTATCTTGAACTCAAGCATGGGCTCGGACTTCCTGGCAAGCCTCGCAGCGAATAGTTTACCGTAGTTCAATATACCCTGAAGCGAAAAGTCCGTATCTGGCGAAAAGGGAAACCGCACGACAATGCAGCCTTCGCTCTTGACCCACTCTCCATCCTCACGGTAGTCCTTGCTTGACGGATCTGGCACCCATATTTCTGTTTCTACTTTGGCGAGCCGGGGGAACTTGCGTAGAGTCATGAAATGCCATTCGCTCGTGACTTTGCCGTCCAAGGATGGCAAACTCGTGACCAGCTGAGCAAAGGAAAACTCGCGATCGTATTTCATTCCTGTGCGGATGACTTCGCCTTGCTCCAATTCCACGCCTGCACAAGACTTCACAGGATAAACGAATAGAGCCTTGATGGTCCATGGCTTTGCTGGGGTGGCTTCGGCGCCCTTGGCATACTTTTTTGAGTACTGGTCCTCTAGGTTGCTGCGTCCTTTGAGACCCAGTTTTCGGCATCCAGCTGGCGGTGGAAGACGAGAGTTGCCTTGTGTGAGACCCAATGCCAGGAGAATTATAAGAGGTGAGAAGGAGGCCAGGAGCGTGATGAGCACGGTGCTTAGTGAAAAGTCGAGACCGGCATCGTGCAGGATTTCCTGGATTGTATCTATCAGGTCGTGCTCTCGTGCAGTGGCAATGGACATGATGTAATCTTCACGAGGTCGCAAATCAATGCAATCTGGTGTTCCTAACGATGTGTGCCTGATGAAAATACAAAAGGAGGCTCTTCTCGCTAACGCATGCCCAGGAATCAAGCCAAGCCAAGCCACACACTACGACGTACAGAGAAGGTAAGGTGATAGTGGCTGAAGATGACTTTGAAAGGATTGCAAGAGACTTCTCAGAGCAGCGAAAGTCGCATGCGGAACGTGGAGGACGTTTGGACGGGAAGAGAGGGAGGAGCCAAGTCATCGACCGAGGTTCGGATGCTAGCGTGACATCAGGCTACAAGCGTGCAAGTGTGAGCGGCCGGTTCATCATCCATGTTCACGACTTCCTTTCACCACGCCTTACAAACAATCCCACACCACGACGCGTCGCCGCATAAGAGAGGAGCTGTGTATCACGTCATGTATCCCAACATCCTATCAGGGGACTAACGCACGGATACCATCAAAGTCGCCAGGCTCTATCCACCAGAGCACGACTGACGGCGCATCAATCTACCATCACAACAACAATGGCTGGCGAAGATGGTCCACTAGTACCGTCGTCCTCATCGCGTAGGTAGCAATGGCTGCCGGGTGTGTTGGAGACGTATGTTGACTCCTCAGTCAGACAGACTGCCCACTGTCTCCGCTTCCCAGGCCCTTCAGAACCTCTATGCTCGCGGCGCCCGCGCAGTATCGACAGGCATCTCACAACTTGACAAGGTCCTCTCTGTGCCAAGCCTCCCGGGCCATGATGCTCCCGGAGGTTATTTGCGCGGGAAGGTGACAGAGATCTTCGGCCCGTCCGGCGTAGGCAAGACATCATTTGGGTAAATGTGGCCGGCTTGCGACCTGCAGCTTCCCTTGGACATGGTGACTGAAGTGGTTCCAGGATACAGGCCGCCGTCTCTGCATTGCGCGAGGGTCAACAGGTGGTGTGGGTTGGTACGTATGAACTGGTGGCGAGCTCCGAGGTCAGCGCACCGTAATTGCTCTACATTTGAAGTCTGACAAATAGCAGACGCTGCCTGTGCACCTCTTGTCAGAGAACGCCTCGATAGTGTACTCGAGAGCAGCAAAGGAGATGGACACTCCCGTGAGCCTGGAACCGATCCGGCGCCAACCTCTACAGGCGTTGGAGATGAATTGTGCAGCCGCTTCCATTACTTCGCAGCGCCAACGCTTGCGCATCTTCTAGCGCTCTTCGTGCATTCGCCTGCCTCGTTCCCGCCTCAAGACACGAGCCTTGTCGTTGTGGATTCGCTCGCGACCCTCGTCGATAACGCGTACCCCCGCAACCCAGATGCCCGTATGGCCAGGGTCAAGACAGAGCAGTCGCGATGGGCTGCAGGTCGTAGATTTGCCATCATAAATGAACTGATCTCAACATTCGCAAGGTTCGCTGCAACGCACGACATTGCACTGCTCCTTACAAGCCAGACTATTACCCGGATTCGAGGTGCGTCAAGAGCAGTCTTGGTGCCTGCCATGTCTGGCGTAGAGTGGGAGAACGGCATTTCCACTCGGTTGGTCCTCTTCAGAGACTGGGCGCCGGGTGAGAGCACGAAGAACAAATCAGAGGTCGCCCGACTGCGTCGAGCGCGATTTGTGGGCCTTACAAAGGCCAATGGTGTAGCCCTGGCAGAAGAAGGTGGTGTGGGCAACGTCGTGGCTTTCACGATCGAGCATGTAAGTCAATCTATCGCGCAGCAAGTCCAACTTTCCCGCGACCCAAGCGCTCCTGCATACACATGTCCCGCTGACCAATGACAGTCTGGACTTCAGCACTTGAACATTTCTGCAGACAATATCACAGCTCCAGTCACCTCTTCCCCTCATGCGCGACCGCCTAAAAGGCCTGCATCAGAGATTGACGAGGACTCTGGTGAGGAGCCGAACTCTGATGAGCTCTATGGTTGGATAGAAGATGACGAGGTTGCGGCAGAAGGACTCTTGATTGATGATTTACCTATCATTGATGAGGATGGCAGAGCAGGAACTTGCCTCGAGGTCGTGACAGAAGGACGCAGCAAGAAGGTAGCACGGACTACAACGGTGTGATTCTGAATCCTTGAAGGCATCCTTCATTCCTTCTCGCAAAGCAGCCACATCTAGCTTGTAGCTGTCCTGTTCTGGTGCTTCCCGGACGACCACAACTGAGTCCGGGTAAGCTCGTATGTCTCTTCACCATTTTCCTTGTGCGAAACTCTTGGACAAGCTGACCTGTGTCAGACTATATCTTAGAGCCCAGACCGATGATACAGGGCACCCACGGCCCATAGGACCGGTCCTCGCTATCGAGCCGTGTGGGGTCTTCGGACCCCGGATTGATCTACCAGACTGCGACCCCACAACCACGTACTTGCATAAGCAACTATTAGGAAGCTCTTACTGTGTACATGAGTAGTCATCTGTGTCGGCAGCTCGCGATCCAAGACCGCTCTTATCGTATCGTGGCTTCTATCCTCGCAATTCTTCCGGCAATTAGGCGCCCGCATCCTGTCTCGCCCTCGTTGCACCCCGCATTGAATGTCTCCAATCCTTTCGTTTCGCCACACTGGCGGTAAATTCTAGGTATGCGGGCCGAGAAGCAGCAAAAAGCAAGTACAGAATGCCTGCGTCTCAACCAACCTTTTGCACCTGCATATGCCAGGCCAGGACTTGGGAGCGCACCAGCTGCACGCAGGCATCGGGGAACCAGGGCATTGGGTGTAGTCACCGGTAAAACTCTCGCGTTGCTCACACGCATGCGCTTCTGTGGCGTGCACATTCTGGGGTCAGCGGGGTGAAATGGGATGCCTGGGCGTGGGGGAAAGCCGCCCATGTATATTGCTCATGAGACGTTTCAGACATGCAACGTGAAGTGCGTAGCGAAGCCAGCTGACGTCGCAACGGGAGACGTTTACGAAAGCAGGCGGAGCGACTCTGGGTACGAGGTCAAGCCACATATGCACACTCGGCTGTGGTGATATCGAAGAGGCGTTACCATTTCCCCACGGACACCGGGGAAACACCCGATCGCCATGGGCGCAAAAGGTTGCGTGTTGACATGAGTGCTTGCGACGACTTCCCTCTTTGATAATGGCAAGGAGCGCCATCAATAGCAATGTGCTCATCCACATTGTACTTGACCGCCACATGACCCTTCGCACTGAAACCCGCACGCGCTAGCATCGCCATGGCGTTGCTCGCTCCATCCCAATGGTGCATCACAACACCCCCTTTTTCCGTACATTAACCCATTCCTGTTTGTTTTTTTGGGGGGGGAGTTTGTTTTTTTGCGTGATCCAACCAACACATCACACCACACCTTGCCCACGATGGTTTGCCTAATCGCTGGCTGGAGTTGCCGTGCGATTGGCTGATTCTGCTCCCCCCCTTGCCCTTGTCATACAGAAGCTGTCTCTCTCTATCAGCCTTGCACATCCCGATGATGCCTACCACCACCCCCGCGCTTCTCTGCAATGAGGAATCCCCACATGGCTTTGCGTGCTGGATGTTGTTGGGGGGCTTGCGAGATGATCGGTGATGCGTGTGGTGTGCGTGCGGTGTGTAGTCTTCTGTCTGCGGCTCGTAGTACGTAGTGAATAGTGAATAGCAGCAGCGCTAGGACTATACAGCATTACACAGTACATCCTGTACCCCTCCCCCCCCCCCGTCCCCCTAAGACAATCTGGCTGAACGGAAGCCGGAGTAGAAGGAGAGGTAGATGAAAGTGAAGGGGAGTCGGTGTATAGAGTACAAGGGGGTTTTCGTCGTTCCAGGGTACCGTATCCCTTTTGCCTTTAGCGAGCTGTGGTATTGGTATTGTCGGTGTTAATGTCATTGTCACTGTCACTGTCACTGTCGGACCCAGAGTGGGGTGATGCTCGCCCGGCGTATAGATGTGTACAGTATATATGCATGTTGTGGGAGAGTGAGGAGTGAGACATGTTGTCACACCACATCACCGTCTCCATATGCTGAAATCTGTCAGGCTGTAATAGTGCGCGGTGATTCGTTCGCGGTTGGCAGTCACTAGACACTAGTGCGTGAGCGCGAGTTAGGTAGGTAGATGGGTAGGTAGATGGGTAGGTAGCTAGGTAGCTGACTGATGTGGGAGTAGGAGTGGGGGATTGGAGGGAGGGGAGGGGAGGGGCAGGACTGGACTGGACTGGGTGGATTGGGTCTATTTTGGGGTTCGAGGGGAACACGGCAAGGAAGGGGTGAGGAGAGGGTGGAAAGGGGGAAGGAGAGGGTGGAAAGGGGGAAGGAGAGGAAAAGGAAGCAATGCTAGGGGTGGGGGGAAAGGCGAGAAACGGGTTTCATTTCATACATTCTTCACATCATTCCCATCCATCCTACCCACACATCATTCCCATCCAACGTACCCACACCCCATCCACATACCCATACCCACAATACACAATCATCCCATCCCCCCAGCTACAAAGACTCACCACCGCAGTACACGACAAGCACAAAAGCTTCTCAAACACTGCTTCTTTTCTTTTTTGCTTTTTGCTTTTTGCTTTTTTGCCTTGTCGAGAGTCGAAAGTGTAGATGGTGTGAGCGTGAATGGAAACAGGGGGTAGCTACTCTATAGGAAAGAGAGGTGTGTAGCGTTTGCTGGGTATAGTATCCGCTTTTTGTAAAAATTACACATCATACATCACACATCACACAGTCGATTATTGACTGGCGTGCATCAGTTTGTCCCGTGAAAAAAGGCCCGTGGTCTTCAAAGACGAATATACAGCAGAGTGCATCACTCTCCCTTTATCACAGCAACTCCACACATTACGCTACGGTACATCACCTCTCACCTTACTTCACCCCCACCAGCCCAAAAACCCCAGACAGGAAAGGGAAATACAAGCAACAAGGCCTGTCCAGTCGAACCGGCAGTGTGCGAGCCAGGGGTGGTGGGGGGTTGTTGAATAGTTGACCAACGGATGAAGAAAAAAAGAAAAAGGAGATGACATGACCTACTGACATGTCATGTCTATAATCTACGGGGAAGACAAGGGCATGGAAACAGGAAAGACTGGATGGGGGAAGCCAGGAATGCGTATGGGGGCGGGATACCTGATTTGGGGGGAGCCGGGCCAGGTTGGTGGGGGAGGGAGAGGATCGACGTTTGGTTGATCGCGCTGTTTGGGGGAGGGTAGGGTGACGTGGGTATTGTACAATACAAAAGATAGGCATGGTGTAGAGTACCCTACGTTTCCGAGACACACGCACACGGTAGCCGCGGCAATGGCATAGAGAAGCCGCTGTCAACTGTGCGGGAGAGGAATGTGTTTATCCTCGGTTATGAATGGCATCGATCGGGTGAGGCCAGGTGGGTTGGTTGGGTTTTGGACAGCCAGGCCAACCCAGCATGCCCGGCCCTTGCTTGGCGCTGATACCGTGCTGCTGCTGCCTATGGTAGACAGAAGACCGTACCTACTGTGCAGCACAACAAACATGAACAAGCCCCCAACGACGATGGTTACGCGATCAGCATCGGGCTAGAACACGACACTATGCGGGTGGCCGGCTTCCCATTTATATATGTGGGGTATCATGACATCAGCCCCCTTTACTGGGGTATGTGTGTGCGTATGCGTATCTGTGGCCATGAGTGTGGGCAACGAAGGGGGGAAAAAGGAAAAGCATCCAAAAAACGATGCCAAGGTGCGGATGCGGCAGCGCATCTTCAGCCGAAACAGGCGGCAGCGAGGACGACGACGACGACGACGACGACGATGACAACGATGACAACAACAACGTCATCCCGCTGCTATGCCCCTGGATCGGATCGTCCTGGGAAGGGGGGGCAGATTGGGACAGCGTGATTGGATGTTGCGGGGCGCCCCGACGTTTGACATTGGATGTGTGTGTGTGAAAGTGTGTGGTGAGCGAGATTGTGCGGGGACCCCAAGAAGCTTGTTCTGGCTTGCGTTGAGATAACACACCGATTTGGCCCCGGCAGGCGAGGCGGATTGGGCGTGTCCCGTTGGAAGAGAAAGAGGGGCTGAAGGCGACGCGTAACCTGCCATTTACAGCGGTGTGAAGGGTAGCAACGAGGGCGAACGTGATCGCCGGCCTGGCGAGGTCGGGGAATGCGGACAGGGCTGGTGTGCTGCGGGTTGTTGTCTGCACATATGCACGCAATACTGTGTGTGTGTGTGTGTGTGTGTGTCATGGAATGGTAAGGTGAGGTGAGGTGAGGTGAGAGGAGAGGAGCCGAGCCGAGTGAGGGACTGGGGGCGTGGTGTGGAGTGGAGTTTTTCAGAGTTTTCTTCTTCTTTGCTCTACGCATTCCATTTGTTGGGCTCTGAGCCTGCATTTCTTGGATAACCCTTTTTCATTATCAGCCGGGTGAGACTGTGCATGATCGTGGCGGGAAATCCAAAGCATGTATGCTAGTGGCGGCAGTCTTGTTCCGAGCACTGATGAGGGGGAAGAAGGGGGAGGAGGTCAAAGTGCAGGTGAAATTGGAGGACAGCCGAAGTGTGCTCGGCGGCTGACGAGGCTGACTCACCACGATGGTCCATTGTGGAGACCCTTACTGTACCTACTACGATGTAGGAGTACGAGTACAGTAGATAGGACAAGCACAGCAAGTACCCAAGTCCGTGTCTGGACGGGCGATGCGATGATGGATGATGCGTGGAAGATATCGTCGCTGTTCCATGCTCTGGCCTTGCACTTCCAATCAGGCGTACCTTGCATGAGGGCTAGACTACATGGACACCTCGGCCGCCGCCAACGACCCATCATGGCCATGGATGAGGCTCATGAGGCTAATGCGCCACCCTAACCTAGCTTCCCTCGGAGTCTGCATCCCATTGGGAGGCGCCTTGGTCTCCGACTTCCCCCGATCCTCCCCATTTTTTTTTGGCATGTGAGAGAGAGAGAGTGAGAGTGAGAGTGAGAGAGAGAGAGAGAGTGAGAGTGAGAGAGAGAGAGAAGAAAGTGAGAGAGAGGCCACAAAGGGTTTGCGCCTTGGCCGGCCTGTGAAATTTCTCTTTGTACCCGGCACAAAGCGTCAAGCGTCCCCCAGTTTTTTTCTTTGGCAGCAAGAATGGGTGAAGAGCGGGGCGAGCTATTGAGTGGCTGAGCGTCTAGGGTAACCCTCTTATGAAGGTACGCAGGATTGTCAATTTTTTTTTCTTTCTAGAAGCCAGGGAGATAAGAATAGCGGAGCCCTACTATGACTATTTTTTCTTCTTTTGCAACCTCGGTGTAGCATTGAACATTTTTTGTGCATGAGCTCTTGTGACACCCAACGGAAATCACCCTCCTCATGTTACGCTTCGCCGATGCTGAGAGCGCAATCGTCTTGTACCAAGGGCATGGGCGTCGTACCATCGGGGCCACCGGTCCGTTGCAAGACCAGAAGCAAAAGGTTCCCCACAATCTTTCTTGCGAGCCCAGCACAGGGGCAGAGGAACGACTGGGCTTTCCCGCTGCGGCCTGGTGATGTTGGCATGTACTGTAAGTAGGTACGTAGGCATGGTAGGTACTCGGATGCAGTGCCTTGTGTGGCTGGACCGGCCACAAAGAAGACTACCTTCACGCCATACACAAGGGAACCTCTCTGCAGGAAAAATAGGGAAAAAGGAAAAGGAAGAAGCTGGACGGGTAGCATTTTGCCGGCATCGTGGGTCGGACAAAGTGTCGTCGGCTGAGCAGGCCGTGCGTTGGTTCACCGACTTGACCCTCCTCATTTGTGTGTCCGGGAAGAGGCATCGATGGCGGGCCGTAGCGGAGGGGAGGGTGGATGATGTGATGTGCGGTGCCAGTTGTGCAGCCTCCTATGGCATCCACACCCTCTCCGCACAGGAGCACGCAGAAGCTCGCAGCACCTCTCGCAGCAGCCTGCAGTCGATGCACCATGGCCGTCGTGCTTGGAGGTGCTGAAGCGAGCCCCCTGTCTTGGGATGGCTATGGATGGCTTGCCTGCGCACCTGTTCCCGTTCCCGTCTTTTGCTTTTTTCCTGCGCTTGGAGGCTTGGACGACCCCAGGAATGCTCTCCCCCACAGTATCAAGGGAGTCGACGGTCAGCCCAGCCTACCGTGCAACTCGATCAGGAGTCAGTGGGTAAATCAGCTGCGTGTTGGATTGCCTCCTTGGTCCTCTGCACGCAGCCAATAGAGAAGAGAGTGTGGCAGCACCGTGGGAGAGGTTGCCCCGTCTCTCCTCTCTCCCCACGACTGCGATACTCTAGATACCAGGCTTGCAGCTTTACTGGACTCGGCTTCCCAGATGCGTCACACATGCCAGGCCAGTGAGGAGGCAGCATCACGCTTTGTCTAGGTAGATGGAGGAGGAGGAGGAGGAGGAGCTGTGAAGAAAATGTTGTCTCTGCTGCTCAGGCACGACGTGGTACCATAGTAACGCAGTTGCCTCGTACTCTCACAGCGTCTCGGCCGAAACAGCAGGGGGGGCAACAAAAGGCTGTTTGACGGCCAAGGGGAAGCAGCCAATATACTCTACCCAAGGTATATCCTAACTGCCGTTATAGAGTAACAGCATTGGGCGAGTACGTCGCAGCAGACAGCTTCTGGGCGAGGGCGAGGACAGTACTGTGGAATAGAGATTTGGTACCTAACCGTATAGTAGAACCCCAGATAAGTGACGTCTCCAGTCTCCTGTCCCTCCCAGTCCCTCCAGTCCCCCCAGTCCCCCCCGGGTCCCCCCATACAGAGCCAGCTGGCCCCCTTATCTCTCTCCCCCAGCTTTAGCCCACAGCCACACTGCGTTGGAGTCAGCTCATCTGCAACGTTGCACCATCTGACCCGACTGCCTCACTCTTACGCATCCACATCCACCACGCAGTCCACCGACGGACAAGACTAGACTACTTGTACACTCCTCTCGACGAGACGCGAGGCGAAAATAGATTACGGCGGGCAAGGCAGGACGTGTTGGAACCATGGACCCTTGGGTTGCTTAGAGGAGGGAAGGGGGAAGGCGGAGGGGTGCCGCTGCTGATACACGTTGCTGCATTCTCCACAGCCTCACCTGCCATTAGCCAGCCCACTGCCACACACACACACACACACACACATCGCCGTCCTCAGCACCTTGGTAGGGCGGTACGCTCGCCGACACTCACCGCTACGGGATTTAGTTTTTTTCTTCTTAATCCTTACAGGACGGACGCAAATTTCAGTCTCTGCCCTGTGCAGCAATGGAATTACGTCGTTCGGCCCAACACAAAGTGAGGAAGGGCGGGTCCACATGTGGTGAGGGAAATCGTCGTCATCGCCCTCCATAGTGATCATCGTGACTCCAGAGGGTACAACGTGCGCCTCTGCTGCTGCTGCTGACTTGACAGCGGAGAGAGGAACGACGAGCACAACCTACCCTCGTCAGTACATAACAGTAGCCATGTGCAGTACCTAGCATCCCACATTACATTGCATACAGCATTCTGGCCGCCCCTGCCAAATAGTAATCGAGGTAGAGTAGCAAGTATGGTCCTTTACACTTTGGGGGGGGGGGGAGTCATTCGTGCGCGGCCCCTCGTATGCACCGTACCTTCTGTGAGCGAGCAGCCAGCAATCTCCCACTCGCTCCTCTCGCCACCTCTCGGTGTGTGCTCTGGTAGATACTATTAGGGCATACTCGGTACGTACTGTAGTAGTAGTAGCTAACAGTAATACGCCACGCCAGAGGAGGCTGGCTGGCTTGACTCCTCCTCCTAGTACTTCTCCTTTTCCTCCACCCTCTCCTTTTTCCCTGCAACACCCCAGTGCCTCCGCTACCAAGCCTCCACAGGACCAGAGGTACAAGACACTATGTACTTTATGTACCTACCTACCTACACACAGTATAGTCTATAGTCGTATAGTAGAGTGATTGCTTTTGGAGAGAGAGAGGGGGGGGGGTCCTTTTGGTGGACAGGCCCGCTTTCCTGATACGGGTGTACGAGTCGCGGACGCCCGAGTGGCTGCCAAGACATGTTGGCGCACCGCGTTTCTTTGGCCGCTGGGTTTCTGGACGTTAGTATCGCGCCCTACCCA